CTGGCACAAGGATGCTTTCCACTCCTGGAAGTGAAACAAAAAACAATATTATAAAAGAGATTTCATAATTAATTCATCATTTTCTTTTTCAACAGTTCAGTACCATAACACTGTAGACAAACCTTTCTCATAGAGATAAAGCAGCCTGTCCATAAGAACAACTGACTCTATCACTGGTGCTAGTAGCAATCGCATGGAGTAATAAACCACAACCTATAATAAAAATTATACTAATCAGTTTATGCTCATTTCTTGGTTCCACTGACAATTTCTAATGATACAGAAATTAAACGGGTTACTGCCTACTCTTCTAATCATCACATTTCCTTGCATAATATGGCCTAACAAATAAATACATTTTACTGACAAAATAACCTGAGCTTTGTACACATAAGCATACATCATGAGCAGATGTTTATTTTCAAAACAAAATACCAATAATCTAACTATTTACAAATTTCTTAAACTACACTTCACTTGAAAAACATTTGTAATCACCTGCATCCATCTGGAAAGGTTATGGTTTGTTATTTCACTAGTTAAATCCTCTTCTGGCAATATAACATCATTTAGACGTGCAGTGGCTGCCTTAGCATACCTGGAAGAAAATAATGCAACAATAGAGTTGTATTACCAGTGATATAATTGTACTCAATCAGAGTAAATATTTTTGATGGAAAAAGCTAGCTAGAAATCAAAGACTGCCTCTTTAATATTCATTTCAATTTAATAATCATTACTCTAAAACATCAGGAATAAGGCCTTCTTAACCCCTTGCCACCAGTTGGTATGTACATACATGCCATGGCTGTTGTGGACAGAATAGCGGGTGACATCATATCACGACCATTCCCCCACCATTGGCTCACTGGACAGAGTTTGTTTTTCTCTAATTTTAGTGGCTTCATTTCTATGGTAAAGCTAAAATGCAATAACACCTGAAGTGAAGATAAACCTTCAATTTTTTTATATTATTAAAAATTATAGCAAAATAAAAGCTTCAAAACTCCTAAAAGAGCTGGGGGCAAATGGGGAAACTGTCAATACATGCCAAAAACCCCGTGGTCATGTCCACTTGCCAAACTTTTTTACCTGGGGTCACTAGGCTAATAGATAATTTCTAATAGCATTTTCATTCACTTCTAAACTAAAATTTCTTGACATATCCTATCAATTTCTTATATTCCCTTTACATCAAATATTAAAGTAAAATTTTACATACATTTGGTATCAATATCCGTATCCATCATCTATTCGCTCTATCCTTCTCAATGATCATTTCTTTGAGATTCTAGATTTTGAAGACTACCAACATGAGTTCTTTCATTCTCCTTTCCATGCCAGGTAATAGAGATTCTTACAGCTTAATAATAAGAAAAAAAATCAATTCAAAAAATAGATTTGGTATTATGTATTACTCACACAGGAAATTCCATTTCATGTGCATGGTTTACTGATCGCAAACCCGCATGACTTAATTCTGGCCAATATTTTACGATAATCTCCTCTAGTGCAGCTCTGTAGCAGTGTACCTGAAAAATAAACATTATTTTGAACTGCACAGAATATCTATTTCTTTTTCAAAGTTTCAAATGTTTTGCAATTTTTCATAAAATACATACTTTTATCTTAATACTGTAGAAGATGGGATGGAAGTACATTGTGAAATTAGATTATTGATGGTCTTTATACATAGATGACTTCATAAGTAATTAATAACCAATGAATCAATTACTAGTTTGACATATCTAAACTGCTTACTTATTTTCCTTGAATTTTGGAAATCTTTACTTTTATCTTATGTAGCTATTAGTAATGTCAATAACATTATAATACACATAATGTATAATAACAGCTGTGATAGCACCTTAACAACAACAATAATACTAATACTAATACTAATACTAATACTAATAATAATAATAATAATAATAATAATAATAATAGTAAAGAAAGGTGAAATCAGGTGAGGTCATGAGGTCTACTAACTGACGCCTTCGTGGCAAAGCCCTTGTGGCTAAAATGCCAGAGGGCCTAAATTTCAGGGTATGCCTAAAAATAGTGGATTATGCAATTAGGTAACTTATTTTTGAATATACCTTATAGGCTATAAATTGAATTTAAGCAGTTAATAACAGTCATCTGTCTTCATCACTATTTTACTTGAATATTAATAATAAGACAGAGACAATGGAAAAGAAAGAAGAAAGAAGAAAAAAAAAAGAGAAAAAAGTGGAAAGAAATGTAAAACCAATTACCTTCAGATTATCAGCTCCTAAATATAGGCGTTCTGCATACATTTCAATGGCGTGGCATGCAACCTCACGTGCTTCATAACTTAGCTCATTTCCAGTAACTGCCTGCACTGCTTTGCTCATGGGATATCCTGGGTAATCCGTTTCATCACTGAAAGAAAGATTAATCAAATCAAAACAGAGGTAACTGAAAGATAAAATGTATTTGTTTAATATTTCACATTCCTTTAATTAAAGTTTCCATT